TTATATTATTATATTTACATATTTTACATATTTTTTTTTAATTTTAACAAAATGGACAACAATGTTAATGCTGAAAATCAAGTAAGTGTTTATGAATTTAATTATATTTAATAATCTATATTAATAATTAATTATATAATATAGTCTTTGGAACTTGAAATTGGTAAAGAATTTTCCTCTCTTGTTGAGTTAGAAGATGCAATTTCAAAGTATGAAAATAAGACCATGTCCAACTTTACGAAGTTCAGTTCTAGGACCATTGAAGGTGCTAGAAAAAAGGGCTTAAAAAGGCACATTAATCCAATTTTGGAATATGTCGCTCTTGATTATAGATGTGTACGAAGTGGTGAGTACAAAAGCCAATCAACAGGTCTCCGGCCGCAACAAAGGTATATTTAAAATACTTATTAAACTTAAAATATTTATAATTTATGAATTATGGAGCATCTTAAAAACATATTGGTTGGTATTTATTTTTATTCCAGTTCTTTTCGTTCAAATTGCCCTGTGGTTTTGACTGTTCGACCCAATGATTGTGGAGAAAAATTAGTCATAAAAAGTTTTATTAGTGAACATAATCACATATGCAGCAAGGTAAATAGTTAACAAAATAATAATAGAAATTGTATATAAATACAGTATAAAAAAAAACTATTTATTTTAGGCAATGTATGATCACTATCCTAGACAAAGGAGGCTGGATACTGATTCTAGAATTATGGCAACGAAATTGGTAACGATGAAGGTTAATAAAAAAATATTACAAAATGATCTGATGAAAACCCACAATAAAATAGTAACGTTGAAGGATATACATAATTTGGTTATATCCAAATCACCGGCATCAGACGCCTTAAAAATATTGGCAACTAGTTATGAGGGAACTGACGTCACCCTTAATATTTTAAAAAACGAAAAAAATGAGCTCAAAGCAATCTTTTACCAGGACAAAGAAATGCAAAGAATATTTTCTTTGTGTCCTGAAGTGTTGTTTGTTGATGCCATATATAAAGTAAATGACTTAAGAATGCCCCTCTACGTTTTTTTAGGTATTCATCTTTACTACGTTTAATTAATTATAATCAACTGTTGTATTAAATAAAATTTGTTTGTTGCCTTCAACTTGGTTATAGTGGTTGACAGTAACGGGCTCAGTGAAGTTGTTGGGTTTTGTCTTCTCACTAGTGAAGACAAGGAAAATGTATCGGACATGGCCTCAACGTTTAAAAAGCATAATCCCGATTGGAATCAAATCAAATGTATAATGGCAGACAAAGATTTTACTGAGAGGAATGTTTTCAAGCAGCAATTTCCGGATTCACAAATTTTGATTTGTATTTTCCATTGTTTGAGGTCTATGTCGAGGGAAATTACCTGCGAAAAAATGAAAATAAACTCCGGTAAAAAGTGTTTATGAAATACTAAATGCATTAGTTTTGATGAATTTTTTTATTAGGAGAAAGATTGATGTGTTTAGAAATAATACAAAGTATTGTTTACGCTAAAAATGAATCGAATTATGACGAAATCCGCCAAAAACTTGAAGATACCAATATAAAGACGGTGATCGATTACTTCAATAAAAACTGGCACGGTATCAGAACAGAATGGGTTGTACACTTCCAATCAAAATTTATGACTCTAGGTATAATTTTATAATAATATGTTAATACTGTCAGGTTTCAGTTATGTAACTTTATTGTTTTAGGAAATCGTACAAATAATCGTCTTGAAAGCATTAACCAAAAAATAACACAAGTGGTCACCAAATTTTCTAGACTAGATCAATTATTTCAAGGTATACTCACTTAAGCAAACTATACCCGCCGCGCAGTCATCTTCATGCATATGTTATAATTGTATATGTATTTATAGGGCTAGAGATGTTAATGGTAACGCTACGGACAGAACGAGACCACATAGCCACCGAGTGTTTTTCAAAAACTCCTAGTTTTGTAGCTGGATTGGCACCTGAGATTAAACAATTGTTTTGGTATTTAACACCTTATGCATTTAATTTAGTTCAGTCAAAAATTAGCAAGGTAGAAAAAGTAAAAGTTATATCTCACATTAACATGACGGGCATTGTTAATTCCGGAGAGGGTGTCTTAAACGTCACTACTAAGACTTGTGAGTGCACTTTTATTACCAGTATGTGTCTTCCGTGCCACCACATATTGAGATTGAGGAAAATGTATGATATTTCATTATACTGCCCAGAATTATGTGCAGATAGGTGGACTAGAAGGTATTACCAAGATGTATGTAGGGTAATTCCTTCAACAACTATGCCTAATAATACAGAGCAAAACAGTGTTAACGTAGTCACTGTTGGCACAAAAAAAAAAACGTATATTTAATCAGCACGAAAAATACCAGCAAGCATATGTTCAAGCCAAAAAATTGGCTTCTTTGGCCTCTGAGGCTTCTGGGACAGCGTTTCAAAAACGTATAAAGTTACTCAACTTCATCGCCAATGCTTGGGAGAAAAATGAAGAAGTTGAACTAGGTAACTAACATTTACATAGCTTTGGAATTTACATAAAAATGTTTATTTTATAATAAATAATACATAATAAATATTTTACTCTTTAGACGATTTGTTTGACCAAGAAGGTCAAGAAGTGAGTGAAAACATTGAGAGTGAAACTGAAGAGCCTCAAGAGTTGGTGCTGAATGAGTTACCAATACTACCACCTAGGATTCCAAAAAGGGGCCGTCCAAAAGGTAATTCTAAGTTTTTAATTAAGGTTTATTATTTCACTTACTTAAACCACAATATAATATGTAGGTAATGATAAGACAGCAATTGGCATTCCAAAAAAAAGAAAATTGGATTCAGTTGGGTTGGTTTGTTTTCAAAAACTGCCATTGAAAATAAAACAATCTGAAATGCTAAAATGGTTAGTTAACGAAGAGTTAGCAATGCTTGCAATCAATGCAAACAAATTAATCTCTGAAAGTGATGTTGAATGCATACCAGAAAGTGTACCATGTGCAATAATCGATGATACTATAGCTGTAGGAGAAATAAGGCAATTTTTTACAGCAGATGGATGGACTGCTGTCCAACAAATTATTGATGCCAAAAAAAAACATGCAACTTGGGTTTGTCCTGTTTGTTCAGAAGATGCTTCTACTAAATCCATTTGCTGCAATCGGTGCTTGGAATGGTCACATTTTATATGCGCAAGAGTAAATGAGAATGTAAAATCAAAACAGTGGTTTTGTAATACTTGTAAATTAGCAGCCAAATAATTTTAATTTTTACAACGTGATTTTTTTAAGTGTTTAATGTTAACGTGCGTTACCACCGTAAGTGTTAAACGTGATTTACTTTAGTGTTAGGTTATAACTTATAATATAGAATTTTACTATATTATAATACCATAGTATAAGGAATAAGAAGTATGTTCAACGCGACAGTGTCGCGAATATACCCAGCAAATAGTATGTCGATTATGTTGGTAAGTCGGAAGTCCCATGATTATGTATAATAAATCAAAATATTAATTAGTTATATAATATTATATCAGGTTATAAACTTATAAATAACCATAGATAATAAAGATATGGATAGGACATATTGGTCTTATCAGCGGTCTTCGAGGGGAACAATTGAGGCCAAATAAAGTATACATATATTGAGTATCGACTATCAATATAAAGGAGCCTCAATTGCCTTCTCCTCCGGGAACGCGGCCTCAAATGTATTTAACATAGGCGTGGCCTATCCATATCTTTATTATCTATGTAAATAACACAGAATAGATTAAACGTCGGACGTGAAAATAGCCACTACGTTAATAATAATTATTTATTTAACTCTATAACTAAATACTAATGAGTATCAGGATTCAACTATTGTAATTGATTTAGATCTTTAAATATTCTTATAACCAATTAATTACATATTGCTTAATATAGTATTAAAAATATCCAAGGTTTTTTAATGCATATTATTTATTGTTCATAGAAATAAATTGTATTGTTAAATTTAACTATTATAAGTGTTTCATTTATTTTTATTTTATTTTTATCTATCTAAGTACCTATTTTAATTTGACATAAATTTTTTTGCAATATTGAATTGGGTATGAGAAAGTTTTCAGTTGTTAAAGTCCTTATTCATTATTGAATATTTTAATTTGTTGTAGGCTTTGTATCAAATACCTAGATTACAAGAAGGAGCAGTCCCTTCTATATTTCCAAATTGCCCAAAATATCTTACGAAACACTCAAACCCAAGAAAAGCACCTTTACTACGAAACAGCCCAATAAAACGGAAAAAAATGGCTATTAATACTCAAAAGCCATTTGGTGAAATTATTTCCGATCTATCTGTTGACAATGAATGTTTTAATAACACTGAACCTGAAAAACAAAATACCGTTGAACCGTTTTCTTTTAAGACTATGCAAGAAAATATTAACACCATTGTTCTTCCCACAGCATGGAGTAGGCATGATATACCCAAAAAATTGATCATGTTTTCCCATTATATTACAATAGGAAATGACACTGAAATGCCCACTCCTATTATTTTCAAGAGAGTTTGCTTAAATATTAATTTAAAGGCCAGTTGTTTGGTTTTAAATACAGAAATTTCTATAAACATATTTGGTATTCAAGAAATAACTAGTGTTACAGTTTTAGAAGAACTTTTAAATAAATTTGATAGTGCAAATATTTGTAAAGGATACAAAGTAGATTCATACTTGAAGACACAAAACTCTTATGTCGATCCAATTGGAAATGTTCAACACATTTCATGTCAATTTATTATTGAAAAAAAAGATATTTGCCAGTATTATACCTGTGCTTTACGAAGTGTAAATCGAAAAAAACTTCGGATGTCAAAAGATATCGATACAACTTCTAGGAAAATTAATATTTTGCTTAGTCCAAGTAAACAACCACAATTAAAAAGACTACAAATGAAATATAAATTAATCAGGCAAAAAAAAGTTCGAGCTGAAGCACTCAACAAAAAACTAAAAACTAATATATCTTATCTACATGACAAAATGTCAGCAGTCTCTTCATTAAGCCTTGAAGAAGGACTAGACAAAAGTGTTCTACCTTATAATCAGCGTATTGCAGTAAATGAAATTGTTTCAGCTTCCAAAGTGAAAAACAAAAAAGGTCGACGATATTCGGAAAATTGGAGTTTATTATGTATGCTTTTTCACATACGGTCTCCTTGTGCATATAACTTTTTACTGAAAAATGACATTTTACCTCTACCTTGTGTGAGATCAATAAGAAGGTAATACCTAAATTAAATATTTTATTTTATTGATTTTATAACATTTATTGTTTTTAGACACCTTTCATGTATTGACACTAAATGTGGGTTTGATGAGAAATTTTTAGAATTATTTGCTCTACATCTTGCTCAAAAAGATGAGTTTAAGCGTCATGGAATATTAATTTTTGATGAAATTTCTACCCGTGAAAGTGTATCAGTAAATTCTGAAAATCTAACTTATACAGGTACCTATATACAAATTTAATTTTTATACTTAGTATCTATTTATCTACTTATTTTTTAAAAATGTCATAGGTCTCATTGATTTTGGAGATGATGGTGATAAAGGTCAATCTTTTAATGACAAGGCTAATCATGGTTTGGTGTTTATGTTCGTACCCTTAAATGATAATTATGCACAACCCGTTGGGGTATTTGCTTCAAGAGGTCCGACAAAAGGTGTCGTCATAGCTCAACTGGTATTAAAAGCAATTACTCTGCTTGAAAAAGCTGGTGCTTTCATACATGGTATAGTATGCGATGGAGCTGCACCAAACCGGAAATTTTGGATTGAAATGGGCATAAGTGCAAAATTAAATGAAGTAAAAAATTGGTTTGAACACCCAAATGATGCTGATCGAAAAGTTTTTATCTTCTCAGATACACCACATTTATTCAAAAACATCAGAAACAGGCTTTATAATCAAAGAAAACTTCAGGTTATTATATACATTATTAAATTACAATAAATAAATTATATTGTCATTTTTTTTTTCAGATTAAGCAAGATGAACCATTTGTTGAATGGAATCATTTTCAAATTGTGTATGATCAAGATAATCTGAATAATGGAAAATTAAGAGTCTGTCCAAAAATTTCTGCTTCCCATTTAACTCTGAATAGTTCATCTAAAATGAGAGTTCGGTTGGCTGTACAGGTATCCTCAGTCCTCACTGTTGGTAATAGTTATGTAATATTATTCATCATCTAAATGTTATAGGTTTTAAGTAATTCAATGGCAAAAGGCTTAGAGTTTTATCGTCCTTATTGTTCTCAACTTAAAGATTCTAGTGCAACAGAAGAGTTTTGTTTAAAAATGAATATAACCTTTGATGCACTCAACCGCAAGTTAATTAATGAAGGGATTTCCCCTAATTCTAAAGATTATATGGTAAGTTATTATTTTAGTTCAAATATTTAGTCAATTTTAAACATAGTTAATCAAATTTTTTTTACAGTTACTGATGATTTAACACAGGAATTTCTAACCAGTATTAGATCCAATATCTATTATATTTTATTGGAAATAGCAATTGGCAGTGGTTTTGTATTTATAAGTGATTAGCTTTTACGCAAAGATAATCACTTAAATATATTGATATAATATATGAGATAATTTTATAGCTTCAGCTTTTTGATATTTTATTTTTGCATGTAGCAAACAATTTACATAATATTTCTGTATTTAAAACCTATAAAAGCTTGCCTACTGCCTGTAACCACTATTTACTTTTGGATTGTGAGTATTAAATTTATAATGTGTGTTTTTTTAATTTTTAACATTCAGGTCTTACAAAGTACTCTAAAGTGGTTGGATGATTGGGAACAACGAGTTGTTGATAAACTCATAAAGCCTGAACACTTTCTTACAAGCAACACAGCTGAAGGATTGAGAATAACTCTCACTTCTTCAATTCAAATTTGCTGTTATTTAAAGGAAAAGTATAATATGAATTATGTTCTAACTGGCAAAATAAACCAAGATTCAGCAGAAGAAATAATAAAGCTTATTTAACTAATACATAAAAAATATTTAATTGTTACAATTTATATTTTTAGAGATTCTTTGGTACAGTTCGCCAAGCAGGCGGTGCTAA